TCTAGCCCAGTAAAGGTTGGGTTTTTTGTTTTTTTCCAAGGAAAACTGGGATTATCAAAGGCTGAACTTAATATAAAATCTTCGTACTTAATTATGGATCTGTGTTTCACAGTTGTGATACGGTTTCTTGTTTTACTGAAATCTGTGGCAAAGCCCTGTTTTAAGCAGGCAGAATCAGACCCGTTGAGTGGGCATACGATCTCATCTTGTACATTTGCAATACTTTACACTGTATTTACTGAAAAGAAAGAGAAATAACGATCTCAGCATGCCATCTGCCAACTCTCCGGCTGAATGGAACAGACTATGTCAGTCAAAGGGTGAGATATGTCTTTAAATGACTTCTGTGGTTTTGGGTTTTTTTTTTGGTTTGTTCTGGCTTTTTGGGTTGCTTAGTAACAATATTCTGTATGCAAATTTGTAGCATCTGTGCAGAATGTGAGGTGTTAACATGTTTGTAAAAATTAAGAGTCCAATTCATTTTTTTTCTCTGCAGAGCTTTAAAATTAAATAGCTCCTTCCTTTTTTTCCCCCTTCTACAAATTACCTGCTGTTAGAAAAAGACAGATTTGTGTCTTAGAACAGTGAAAAATCAAAAACTTGCATTTCAGTACTTCTCAAATAAGTAGCTAGTGTTTTCAAATGGAGAATATAGCAGAATTAAGTAACTTGCAAAACATAAGTGGCTTTCAAAGGCCGTATAATTCTGACTCTGTGGTTAGTAGCTGCACACAGGATAATGTCTGTAAACGATTATGTATCTTCCAATTAAAGCACTGAACAAAGCACTCAGTGTCAGAAATCTTACTTGATGACTTGCAGAGCTGTGTTAGAAAGATCTAAAACAGAGGACCAGATACACTTTAACAGACTTCATACTCCACCCTTTTGGCTCCCTAGAGCAGAAGATCTACTGGAATCTATCCTACTATTCAAAATGTAATCAAACACAGAAAAAGCTAATATAGGATGGGTTGGACCAAGCCAGCTTCTAACGTGCCTACCCCTGTATAGTCACTGAATAGTCAGTGGAGAGAAATGGGCTCTCCCAGGCAGTAAGTCATCTGCTGTCTTTTAGATACGTGTCTTAGGGTGAGATGAATCACCTCTCTGCAATGACTGAGCCAAACGTGGCTAGACAACCTCTCACTTTTAAGGCAGTAAAAGTCTGGTAAATTCAATCCCGCTCCCCAAGATTTTTTTTTTCCTGATGATACAGTATAGTTTGCCTTTGATCTGTTTCGGCAAATAAAACATTTTAGAGAGAGGCATCTGCAGCAGTCCTGACTCAGACAAGGTTCACATTGACTCCAGTGGGAGAACAGGGTGAGCAAACACTGCAGGACTTCTCTTCCAGTAAAAGTGAAGTATTTTGCTGTTCCTTTTCTTCACTAGCATAGACATTTTGTTCTACCTTTCCATTCCCTTTAATCACTGGCTCGAGATGATGCCAGCAGACAGTTAGGTATTATCGCTAGGGCCCATGGATCATCACCATAAATTCTGTGAAAAGACACAGTTTGAGTAATGTCTGGCGGCGGAGCTGAAGCCATAGCTCCGTAACAGGATGATACTAACAATCAACTATTGCACTCTGTTCGTTTTATTTGGCAATGTAACAGTTTCGTTACTTGATGTGTAACGCAAGCAGTTGAGTTGATGCCCGGCAGAGCCGCACCAGAGGAGAGGGGACCTGGCCAGTTCGCTGTTGCTACCTCACAACTGCTTTCCTGTCTCGGTCCCTTCAAAAGTAGCAGGAGCCACAGGACTGAGCACAAGCCTCGGAAAGCGGCTGAGAGGCTTTCGGACTCCTGCCGGGAGCTAAAGGAGTGGATCAGCCCCATCCTTCCTCCATGAATATTTGTGACATCCATTCCTTATTTCTCTCAGCATCCTATGTAGCTTATATTTTAACTTGGCAGCTGTTAAGACTCGGTGAAATCAGTTTAGCTGTTTACTAGTACACCCTCCCACCACAGGCAAGAATCTTGACAGCTCGAAAGAGCTTTATAGATAATGTAGACAAATTGCTGGGTTCCAGGTCCTGCCATGACCATGGTAAAAATTGTCTCTAGCTTTGACTGGTGTGATGGATTTTCATGGATCCAGGTGCTTGTCTGGTGTAAAGGGCATGCGAGGGGTTTTGCTGCCCATGGCTGTCACAGTGTCTGCCAGCGAGACCAGGCTGCTGTCATGGGCTCCCAACATCCAGAAGTCCAGATGTCCATTGACTTCATTACGCTGTGTAACATGTATGCAAGTCTGATGATACCTTCCAAAAGCTGTTGGACTCGCCACCAATATGTGCAGTGTTGGCATGGTGTGTATGTGAATAGCCCCAGTGCCGTGGGGAATCATCACTTGCCCTCCGTGCTGTGAACAGCCTGTGTATTCAGCGCAGCCTTGGAAATCCTGGGCTGGCTTGCTAATCCTGTACAAGCACAGACCGCAAGAATATCCCGTGGCTCAGAGAATATTTGTCTCAATACGAAATGAGAGACAACATACAGACTGTTACAGAACTACAGGGAAACATTAAGAAAAATATAGAAGTCAGTCTATCAGCTGTTAGTCTTAGTACACTGGCAGGTCTAACTTTGCTGCAATTCTGTTGATCTTATGTGGGCTTTTAGCAGGGTAACGAAGGGCCCCTGCAACTGCCAGGGGCCAAGGAAGGGAGCGCTCAAAGTACTTAATTTGAGAATCAAAGAACTGGGTGATGGGGATTGCTGTGCTGGGTTGGTGAGAGGTAGAAGTTAACATCTTTGTGGCAGAAGAGAAATGTTAAGCTCACTGAGGTATATACTCAAAAGCATTTTGAAAAAGAAGGAAGAATACTGATGCCTAATGGGATTGCATGCACCAGCTGTTTTAAATCTGGTATATTGTTGTCCAGACAAACATGCCATTTCATTTTGGACCTCACCTATCCCTAGTGAGGTCAGTGCTGAAACTTTTTTTCCTTTGGGTTCTGCTTTGTCTGTATGTTTATTCATTTGAGTGATCCCTGTCTGTGGTATGAGGATCTACTTGGCACAGATCAGTGGCAGAATGAGGCCTCCAGTGATTCATGCTAGGCATAGATATTCCGACTGCTTCCTCTCCAGAATTTACATGGGATGGATGTTTCCCAGTCTTTCTAACTCTCTTTAAAGAAAATTAATGTGAATTCTTGCAAACATAGCCTCCTTTCTTCAGCAGGGCAGTACTTAACAATCCTACTGCCATCACACTCAACACATTCTGCATAAAAGCATGATTCAATACTCTTTTTAATGGCGATTTCTTACACCGCTTGCCTCACTGTATCATTAAACATGTTGACAAGAGCACGGCTGTCTTCCGCAAATTAACATGTTCACCCCTGCGTGAGAAGCCAGCTCTGTTGAGGTGTAGCACAGACATGGTGAATAGTGGTGAGCTGGGCTTCTGCAAACGAATTGATTTTGCGTCTTAGAGCACTGCACCGGGTTTTCTCACTTTGACATAATAGCCCCACGTAATTCTCTTCCTAGCTCAGAGTTACCTTTTTGACAGCCTCTGCATGAGGCACTAGATTTGCTTCCGACTGATTGAGGCCAAGTAAATCGCAAATCACACTGTCACATCTGGGAATTCATGAGTTTTCAGCTCTGTAAAAGTACTTCACCTCTATGAATTGACAGGGTAAACCATATGTTCGCTAGAAAATCAAATTTTCTATTTATTGCTTTTATCAGATTTAATAATTTTAAAGTAGAAAATATCTTCTCTGAGTACAATGGAAACACTTAAATGAGCCAGTTAGTTACATTTCCAGTAGAGTTTAATAATGTATGTCACATTTCACACCTTTGTATAAGGCATATCAGCTTAATTAGAAAAATAAAGCACAAAGTATGACTTGTTCCCTTCTCCCAGTGTAGAACTTCAGTGCTGTAAAAAGCCCAGAAATGGTCCTTTGCTTTAAAAATATTGCTTTATGTAAGCAAAGGATTTAGCTCTATATTTGGGGTTGGGTTCTCCTTGTTGCTGTTACTCTTGGTGAAGCAGCCCAGCTCTCTTCCAGTCCTCAGCCTGTCATTTCTTTTGTACGTCAGGTTTTCCACTGCCAGAATGTGTCATCCCTCACACAGTCAGTTGTCCTGGGTTGCTCAGGATTGGTTTTCTGTGGCTGCAATTGTACATCGTATTGCCTCTGAGATGATTAATACAGCCCTGGAAGTCATACAGCCTTCTTAATAGCATGTATAACTAGTACTTTCCTTCTGGGGCAAGTTTTTATCACACCTGTATCTTTTAGTCAGAGGCTGGACTGAAAACTTTTGTTGGGGCAAATGTAGTAGTAGTAGAGATCCCGGCTAGGAGGTAGATTAGGCATGGTAGTAATATGGAAGCAAGGGCCCTGTGAGTGCAAGCTGTTTTCGGTGCATGGTTTTGGAGGCAACTGATGTACATGTATTGAGCAGACCATCTCTCACCTTTCAGGGGAGTACAGCATGCTGCTTGGCTAGTTTTCACTTCCTTATCCAGGATATATTCATACAAGGTAATTACCAATATCCAGGAATAGGAGGGTTGTTAGAGGCTTTCCAAAGTATTCTTATAACATTCCTGTGGCATGACACGGTAACAGCTATTTTTCCTATGACGTCCTGCAGGCAGTGTCTGTGTGACAAGAAAACCACTTAACAATGAAAAAATTCACACTGTTTGATTTTGTAAATGATAATTCACTGCAAATTGGAGAGACGTCGTGGATACAGGACCTTCCCACTGATGACAATGAACTAGAAAGACTTCTGAAACCAAATGAGCATGTGCTAGTAAACTGGCCTGTGGGAGAAAGAAAGACAGAAAAGCACCTGGTGAAAGTTGTGTACATGAGTGGTGAGTGCAGTTCCAGAGCATTTGTCTGATACGAAATTTTAATCCAATTGCAAAGTATTGCTACCTGATTTTCTGTGCTTTGGGGTTTTTTTTCCATCACTTCAGATGATCCCCAAGAGCTGGTGGAAATGATGCAAAAGATATTAGGAGCGGCTGAAATTACAAAAATACAAGTCCTTGGAAAAGGCAAAAGGAAGAGGATAGAAATGATATTCTCAGAAAGTGAGGACAGTGACCTGGATAAAGAACAGGTGAGTTTCTATGTGCCTGATATTGGTAGGCCCATAATGGAATGAAATAGACAGTACCTCTTGTTTCTTCACAATACAATACACAAAATACGTATAGTCAGGGTAGGAATACAGGCAGCCTTCACATGGTACCTCAGCACAATAACCTGTCAGAGTAATTAGTTAGGCCGGTAGATTTTGTCCTTTGCTATTTAAAGTGTTACTCAAGACTTGGATGCTCTGTAGCTCCATTACATTTTCTCCCATAAGACAGAAATCTGACTACTGCATAAGAAAGGGAAGGGACCAGGTTTTCTGAGCTTTGCATTGTGCTGAGATCTGCA